GTTTATTGAAATCAGCAGAGCTGGCAATATAGTGATGCAGGGTTTCATCATGGTTTGAATTTCAGGCATCTAGGTTAAATAAACTCTTATCAGCCACATTTATGTAATTTCTGTCTTTAAGAGATCTTTATTTTTTGTCTAACGAATGGAAATTGTTTCCAAGTTGACAGAGCTGAAAATAGTTTAAAATAACACCATGGTGAAGTCATTGAATTTCCCCCCCCTAATTAGATAAATATCCTTTTCTGTTTGCTTTCAAGATTGCTAAATAAGAATGCTGCGGTTATGCATCACCCTCTAAATAGATATGCTAACATGAGTTATGGGCTGTAATTTAAATGTAGGAATTTTGCAAGCCCTGGCCATATGGTGTCCTTTGAGAATCTATGAGATGGTTGATTTGGAGGTAAAGATTTCAGGGTTGAAGGCATTAAATCGGACATGCTAAATGTGGAGCTCATTTCTCATGTCCATATCGATGTCTCAGAAATGTTGTTGTGCTTAAATGTACAGGCTATATTTATTGGTCACACCCTGTTGGCCTAACTTGACACTTTGAATGAGGAAAATAAATATTAGAACCTATAACAGTGCTGGTCAAGGTTCAGTTTAATTTGAAGAGGAACATTTTAAAAGCATTTGCTAATCAGATTGGAGCAGAGATTGGTTTTAATCCTTTCCTATGTGAAATGTTCCATCTTGTGTACAAGCTACTGTCAAATTAGTTCAAAGCTTTTCTAAATAAATACAGAAAAAAAGTTTTAAACAGTTTAGAGGTTGTATTTATGGTTGAATCTGAGCATCCAAAATGTGCAAATTAAAAGTACTGAATTAGTTTATCTCAATGTGTTGATTTATTTTGTAACTTTTTCTCTAGCTGAGCCGCGAAAGTATTTTAATCATAATAGGTCAATATTGGATTTGGGAAGATTTAAGTGTTGGGAATGAAGAGGTTGGTGATAGAGGTTTGTTATATATGTTGGTTCTTTGGCCTGTTCTGTGTGAAGCTTGGATTTCCTCAGTGCTATCAGCCTAAATTATGTTCTCACCAATTTTTTTAGAAATATATTTCAGATTTTTTAGTATTTTATTATATTTTGTGCTTTTACTGTAACCTCGATTCAAAATGTTTCAGAACTTGCTACATGTTTGCCCATTGTCAGAAGAATTGACATCTATTCATAGCTAAAAAAAAAATTGACTGAAAAAAATACCATATTCCCAGTTTCCAGATGGTTATCTTAAATTAAAGAAATTTATGCCGTCCGTCCGTCCGTCCGTCCATCCATCCATCCATCCATCCATCCATCCATCTGTACTTTTTATCCGCTTAAGTTTCTTCTTTTTTTTTAAGTTTGTTATAAACTGATCATGGTTGATTGCAGTTTTAGCATGAAATTTTTCCTCAGAAAGCTTAAAGTATTTTAAAAAAAACTTCCTACAAGTTAAAAAAAAGTGAAAATCAAGTTTGCATTTAAATCTTTTGTTGAAAGTCAGATGACTAAAACGAGTCTACAGGAACCCCCCACCCCAGCGCCAAGGATGTTGTTCAGCCACAGTTTGAACATTTCCAACGAAATAACTTGTTCTTTTGATACCTGGCTTATTTGAAGTTCCTCATCTAGGTGGATTGCTTCTGCTTTGAACAAATCAATTCTTAACCCCTAGAACCCGACGGACCCACCGGTGGGTCCAGCTGCCACGTGACCTCGTAATTTTAACAAACCCCCAGTATTGATGTAAAAAACACATTTGGCACAGTTTGGTGACATTTTTGGATAAATGTGCCAAAATGGCCTCTCCGCCTAAGAAATTTCTCACTAATACCATTCTAAAATAAATATGATTCATCTGATTGAGTCCAAATTTTGTATATTTTTACACAACATTTAGATTTAAAAGTCTGTACTACTTTTTTGTGCTATAAATAATATTTTGGTAGTGTTTTGCAATGTTTATTTCAAAGAAAATTTTGGCGAGGTTCAAAAAATGCAAAATATTTTGTATTTTGTCCCTAATATTTCAGGCAGGGTCAAAGCTACAATGGTGCTGACACCAGAACACCATTCTATGACATCTTACCTTTACAGAGGTACCAACATTTTTTTCTTAAATCTAATAGCTGTGAGGCTATAAGTGATTTACTTTGGTGTGTTTTTGTCAGGCAGAAATTTATTTATACCCCCTGAGGGTGTAAGAGGTTAATGTATCTAAGATATTACTGGCATATTTTTTTCTTCCACCTAATTAATAAATGTGGAAGATGCAGATAAGGAGACTGATTTTTCTTACACTGTAAACGCTGCAGCAATGGCTCACCAGACTTAAAGTCATGCGACATTTTCACATTTTGTTACAGATTTGTTTCATTGCTTCTCTTTTGCATTTAATTTGAATCTGTATGCTTCGTATATGACTCTTCGCCAATGGTTAAACCAGAACCTAAACCAAAGATAAATGGTTTGTTTCAATTGAATTTTTTTTTCCTCCAACTGTATTATAAATGGTTTGATGTTATTTGTTCATGCTTGTGTCTGTTATTTAGTATTAGTAGTACCATTCCAAGATTTTTTAAGAGAGTTTAAAAAAAAAAGGTATGCTCTGTTTCAGCAGATATTCAACTTGTTCATTGCCATAAATGGTCAGAAAACAGGCTAATAATCCGTGTATCATTCGTTCTTTCTATTTTCAATTGTCAATCAAAAAACAAAAAATAAAAAATTGACTGGTTATTTTGTTTTTTATGGTTAAACCAAAAACGAAAAAAGGATTTGTTTTTCATATATCAATTCTAAGCTCAGATCAAGAATACGAAATGGAAAAACGGACAGAATCCGTGTATCATTCGTTCTATTTTCAATTGTCAATCAAAAAACAAAAAATAGAAAATTGACTGGTTATTTTGTTTTTTGTTTTTTATGGTTAAACCAAAAACGAAAAAAGGATTTGTTTTTCATATATCAATTCTAAGCTCAGATCTAGAATACGAAATGGAAAAACGGACAGCAACGCAGAGTTTGATTTTAATATTTAATCGGTACAGTTTACGTGACCCGGAAGTTTGGTGGAGCTTTAGCTAAAAAAAACAATTGGCTTACCCCCATAGATATCCATAATAAAGGCTTTATTATGGATATCTATGCTTACCCCCACCACGTTCGATCAAGCTGCACCAGATAAGGCAGTCGGACCTATCAGCCATGGACAGTTACGGTCGAGGATCCAAGCGTGTGACTCTTAAGGAGGAGGACATGACAACGGAGAAAATCAGCAGGATTTTCCAGGTATAACTTTTTTCTTGAAACTTTTCTGTGCACTGTACTTTTAACTAGCAACAACAAACAGCGTTCTAGCGTCGCCATGGTAGCCACTTCATCACCCCACTGCCTCGCAAAGAGCTATTTCCGGGTCACGTAAACTGTACCGATTAAATATTAAAATCAAATTCTGCGTTTTTCCATTTCGTATTCTTGATCTGAGCTTAGAATTGATATATGAAAAACAAATCCTTTTTTCGTTTTTGGTTTAACCATAAAAAACAAAATAACCAGTCAATTTTTTATTTTTTGTTTTTTGATTGACAATTGAAAATAGAAAGAACGAATGATACACGGATTGGACAGCAACGCAGAATTTGATTTTAATATTTAATCGGTACAGTTTACGTGACCCGGAAATAGCTCTTTGCGCGGCAGTGGGGTGATGAAGTGGCTACCATGGCGACGCTAGAACGCTGTTTGTTGTTGCTAGTTAAAAGTACAGTGCACAGAAAAGTTTCAAGAAAAAAGTTATACCTGGAAAATCCTGCTGATTTTCTCCATTGTCATGTCCTCCTCCTTAAGAGTCACACGCTTGGATCCTCGAGCGTAACTGTCCATGGCTGATAGGTCCGACTGCCTTATCTGGTGCAGCTTGATCGAACGTGGTGGGGGTAAGCCAATTGTTTTTTTTAGCTAAAGCTCCACCAAACTTCCGGGTCACGTAAACTGTACCGATTAAATATTAAAATCAAATTCTGCGTTGCTGTCCGTTTTTCCATTTCGTATTCTTGATCTGAGCTTAAAATTGATATATGAAAAACCAATCCTTTTTTCGTTTTTGGTTTAACGATAAAAAACAAAAAACAAAATAACCAGTCAATTTTTTATTTTTTGTTTTTTGATTGGCAATTGAAAATAGAAAGAACGAATGATACACGGATTGCTAATAACCAATTTGCAGCTTACTTTCATTAGGTGTACATTTATATTCCTTTAAAATATTTAGAATGGAGAAATAAAGAAATAAATGGAATGTGTTTAGATGTTTAGCTGATAACCAGAGATGCACTGATCCTTTTTTGTCCTTTGTGATACATGGGCTGATCGTATTAGTCGATATATGATACCAATCCAATACTACTGTTGAGTTAATTACTGTAGCCGTATACTTTGTCATGTGAGTAAAGGCATCAGTTACTAGATCACTGTAACTGTATTGCTGCGTATGATGTCAATAAAAATAAAAATGATTTGATCGAATGCTGGATTGGTATCATTCATCTGAAATGTGATCCAGCTAATTCTGATCCGTGTATCGGATTGCTGCATCTCTACTGATAACAGCATCTCTGATTACATTCATGCATTTTTGTAAGGTTGTTTTCTTCCACGGCACATTATCCAAAGTCACAGGTAGATAAATATTGTCTGACAGGACAATCATATTATCAGATATTATTGAAAAAATATTAGTTAGTATATCTAATAAATAAAATATTCCTTATTTGTATTTCTGTTTTCTCTGGCAAAAATCTAATTTTAAATTCTTAGATCAAAACGTGGCTAAAACCTTTGAATTTTGGTATTTAAAGCTTTTTGGAGACTATAAAAAAAGCTAACAAAGTACACATAATTGTGGGGTTTATAAAAAAAAAAAAAGCTGCTTTATGTGGTTTAGAGCAACTGGCTGGTTTTCATCTGTGTCGATTACCTGACTGAGATTTGTCCTTTTATATGCAGGTTCAGGAGAAGGATGTGGGAAGATTATTCAGCGTTTTCCCAAGAAGGATTGGGAGGGAACGGCTTTTCCTCAAGGAGTGGAGATGGTGAGTTTAAGCATCCTCGGTAATTACCTCTGAATAACTAACCAAAGAAGCAAGGTGTTTGGGAATGTGCAAGACTCTTACATTGGACTACTCATGTGTTTGTTTTTAAAAAAAAAAGTAAAGGAATAACATATTACACACTTGTCCTCCCAAAATTAGCTGTAGATATCAGCACTTTCTGTTACAGTTGGTCATTGCTGTTTTTTCTAAATTTGGTTATTCATCTAACCCCAAACTCGCTAATCAGAGTTTCACCAAATCACATTTACTGCTCACTCTATGCCCAACTTCCCTGGTTTCACTTCCCATGTTCCTCCATTTTCTCCAGTAATATGAACAGAATTAGCTACCTGTTTTAGTTTGGCCCCTGCTAATTTGAGTGGAGACCCCTTGGGGTCTTTGACAGGAGGTCTGTTATCCTTAGATGGACAATCCAATAGATATAGGAAATATTTTCTTATCAGGGATGAGAAAAACTGTCAGTCCCTAGGGAAACATTCTCATTTGACAGGATCACGCTGCCCAGGACATTAGTGTCTGTCTTATATCTGTTTTTGTTAATTTAAACTTAGCACCACTGATAAACTCCTAATGACTAAGCAGACAGTTGACGAGGGAGTGAGTGAAAAAAAAAAATACATCCCAGAAATTGATCATCCTTATAGTTTCTATTCCTGTTCAAAGGCCACTCAAGTTCTTCCATGTGTTCTTCTCTTTTTTTTTGTTTTAGTAGACTAGTACTGACAACCAGTGATTATCCCTACCTGGGTTTTACATGTCTGATTTCTAACAGAAATGTACAACATAATGCCTCCTTCAATATCACCTAATCTAATTGATTAATATCTATTTGTGTTATTGTAAATTTAACATAATGTGATTTTTAGCTTAGCTAGCAAAGCAACACAGCTAAATTTGAAGACATGAAATGCAGGAAGACGTGAAGGCTGATGAAAGCTGTGGTCCTGCTTGGTTGAAATGTATCAATACTGTAAATAGTTGCTTATCTGGGTGGTATTTAAGGAAACACATGCACACAGAAAAAAAGCAGATGTGGAGAGGGGCTGTCATCTTTTGGAAACTGAATTAAGGGCCGATTTAATCAAATTATCTAGTTTTCTTTTATCCAACCTGAAAGGGAAATCCCAAAAAACCAATAGCTACTTAAAAGAAATAAAATAATTCACTACATTAAGTCAAATTTAAATTGTAATTCCATTTTGTTTTTTGTTTTGTCTTTTTGGTTACAGAGAGCTAAATAACACCATAACCTTAAATTATATATATATATATTGCTGTATAAATTGAAGGTTAGACCTTTTTTTTATTTTCATTTTTTTTGGTCATTAATCTTTTTGTAATATTCAATAAGAAAAGGTTTTAGTTATGCTTCAATATTACTCTTATACAACAGGTCTCTCGCCTTTCAAAGTTACCCCTTTTCCACATTTTCTAGGATCTTTTTGAAAATCTTGCATGAAATCCCACCAACAACCAACCTGCTTCGGGGCTTTTCATGATGTTAAATTGTCCTACGTCTCTCTCTTTGTTTTTTTTTTTTGTTTTTCTAAAGGTTCTTAATACAGTTTGTGAACCAAACTGCCATTTCTGTACAATTAGATACACGTGTCTAGTTTGGCTCAACCATTCATTCAATACCTGATATTTACCCTCCATGATTTTAATGATCTTTGCTAAATAAAAATAGATCAGTGCTGTTATTTTTAGCACATAAAAGGAAAAACCCAGCAGGGATTCTCATGACTTTGTCTGTATAAAGGAAACTTGTACGATGTGTGGTTTATTGTTGTGATTTGGGGAACATACCGTTCATGTTTAGTGTGTTGACACAGTTACAGCTGCAGCTACAGTATAGATTGTTTCTCCATGTGGACATGAGTATAAAAAGCCCAATTGCATTATTGAATGTTTATACAGCGGTATTTATGAGGAAGCTCAGAACAAACAACGCTTTTGATCTGCCATAAATTTTTTATTTATTCACTGGGCGGTTTTAGTGTCACGCAGGCATCTTCCTATACAAGCCACTTGAGTTTGTTGGTGGCCATTAGGAATGTGTCTCGTCATGTGTCACTGCTTAGAGGTGACTAATATTAACTCTGACAAGGCCATTTTATATTTTGGAAGTTAAAAAAAGCTTTTTGCTGTTATTTTGGGGGAATGGATGTCTTTACGATGAGGATGGATCTCATTTATTTCCTTTAATGACTCTGAGGGATAAATTAGGGTGGCGCCACTTACTCAGCATCGTCCCCAGAGTATCTTGTCATGGTTTTTCTCTAAATATAGAAACGCTGCAACAACTTTAAGTGGATCTATTAGTTTAGTGTTTCCAGATGTCATCCGGGGCCATTGCATACCATTTTAAATTGGTGCTTTTAAAATTGAGAAATATAGAGAACTCAATAGGGACATGATCCCTTCCAACATAGGCTCATCTTTTAACTTTCTAAGAAGCACTATGTTGTCAAGAATATTTTGGATTATTATGGAACATGTTGATGATTTGTTTGTTTTTCAGTGAAGCTTTTTTTTATTATTTAAAGGGGGAAAGAAAAAAAAAAAGAAAGAAAAGTGGAGGCTTTTCTAGAAATTTTGTTTCCGGGCTACGTGTTTGCAAGAAAGCTTGGTTTAAAGCCTAATGGCTGAAATTCCTTCTTTGAAGCTTTAATGAAGATACACCATAGTGTTTAACAGACCCACTTAGCAATTTGCATTTTGGCTCCATTTTGGTATGTAAACCATTATTATTTGCAGATTTTCTCCTCTTCATGAAAAAGCAAATTACTTTTTCTTTTTTTTCTTTCTTTCTACAAACACATCTGTAGAAAACAGTGGATCAAGCTGAGCACGAAAAGCATTTTGCGGTCACAACAGGCCCCCAGCAAACTAAATAGCCACAGATGAGGAATGCACCAAGAAAAAGCGTTTACAACTTGTGCTCGGAAAAATGTGTTTCTAATCTTTACAGGCAAGTGATGATGATAGGAACCAGCTCAGATCCTCATCTGTTGCGGATGAGCCGCGTCTGTAGAGGGAGGTCAGTGCTACATGCACCTAGTAAATTTCCATCACTTCACCCTCTAGCAGCGATGCAGGGGTGCTTGGCTTACTGTAAATGGTCAGGGGTTCACTAGATGGTACCACAGTGGGGTCTCGGGGTGAGGCTTTTAATATGCAGATTTCACTGAACGGCTAAATGAGATGAATTAGTGGTCACCAACTATTTTGCTAATCGTTTTTATTTCTAAAGCAATTTAACGAGTTTTAGGCACATTATGTGGCAGAAAAAAAGGTTTCTAATATGATTAAGACTGTGAAGATTAAACATGCATGCACAATTTTGGCTAACCTTACTTCATTTGATAATTGCCTTAAATGTTATAGTTAGATAATTCTTCTGATGGGTTTAGCAAATTCCAGTATTTTTAGATGTTTTGGAGCTAAAGTTTCCTCCACTTAGTCAATTTCAGCTACAGTCCTTACTTTTCATGGCTCTCATTTATCCTATGTGTGCAAATTAAGGTCAACGGCTCAATAGTTAGTTATAATATAGCTTGAAATTTTCTTGTCTCTGTGGGGTGATGACACTGGTGTTGTACAGTGAACTAAATACTTTAATTTCTAAAACCTTTTGATGAAAAATAAAAGGGATAAACATAATGTTGCTCAACTGGGTCTGCCTTTCTTCCTGTTTTTAACTGTAGTTAGAGTAAACATCAGCCTTCGCACGGGTGGAGTTACTTTTAATGGTTTTAAGTGAGAGCTCTGATGACCAGAAAGAGTGGAGTGTGTTTTTTATGCAAACTATGTGGCTTTCCACCCTTGGTGTCATGGGTGGTAACAGCACTTAAAGTTTTGTTGTGTTTTCAATAAATAAGGTTTTGCACAAATTGTCAGAATATATGGAAAGTAAAGCTAGTGTTTGAAGGTATTGTGGAGGATTTTCGCCATCTCCACTTAAAAAACGCGCATGCAGGAGCATACACAAGCCCATTTCTCCTCGTGCATGCTCTGCTTAAAAGTTGCTGTTCTGATAGCTCATACAAGCTCCCTGTGCTCGAATGTCCGCCCTAACCTCTAAATCCCTCATCATTGTATAGAGAGGGGACTGTATAATGGGCTTTATAGCAAAGTCAACTGAACGTTCGGACAGATGATCACAACTTTTTGTTACGTTGGTCACGTAACTCCTCACGTGAATAACTCGCGTAGCTCGTCTACACTCTGGTGCAGGGCGTTGAAGGTGTTGTCCATGATGGATGTAAGCTTGGACAGCACCCTCCTCTCATCCACTTCCTCCACTGAGTCCAGAGGGAAGCCTAGAACAGAAAGGGCCTTTCTCACTAGTTAACCAAAGGGCTATAGAAGCTTTACATCAGAAGCAGATATAAGAGAAGTGTTTTTATTAGCTTGCTTATATCAGAGATTTCATCGAATTCTGATACCATTATCGGAGGTGCAAACCAACATTACAAAGTCTAAAAAACTTTTACAAGTTCCAAAACAAATGATCATTTCAGAAAACAAATTTAAATAAAAAAAAAAAAACTTTTACAAGTTCCAAAACAAATGATCATTTCAGAAAACAAATTTACATTAAAAAAAAAACTTTTACAAGTTCCAAAATAAATGATCATGTCAGGAAACAAATTTACATTTTACAAGTTCCAAAACAAATTATAATTTCAGAAAACAAATTTACATTTAAAAAAACTTTCACAAGTTCCAAAAACAAATGATCATTTCAGAAAACAAATTTACGTTAAGAAAAAATTTTATACAAGTTCCAAAACAAATTATATATATATATATATATATATATATATATATATATATATATATATATATATATATATATATATATATATATATATATATATATATATATATAATGTATGTGTGTGTGTGTGTGTGTGGGTGTGTGTTTGTGTTTTTGATGTATATGTATGTTTTTTGTTTTTTTTTTCACTCAGAGT